AAGTCAAACTGAACCACATAATCCAGCAAACATCTCCCACCTCATCCTTGTTTCCCCTGCCCTTTTTCATTTTTTTCTTTTACTTTTTTTAGTCTAATTTTTCCTCAAAGGAATCCTCCCCCAGAAACTCTTAAAATCTGCATTTGAATGTGGTATCTTCACACAGCAAGGCTGTTCTATAAGGAGAGAGATCCTTTTGAAGACCTGAGTGGGTTATCAGCTCACAAAGAAACGTCTAACTTGACTGCTTACAAAATACATGTGGTTTCTGTTTTGTTACAGCTAAGTGCGTCCAAGTGGCACCGTAAGGAGGAGACAGTGTCACTAAGAGGCAGGTCCCTTCCTTCTAGCTTCCCTTTTCTTCTTCCAAAAAACAGTACACAGAGCCACCTCTTAGCAAGCTCTGGACTGGATCCATCCCCAAGCATTACATTTAAATTCTTTCTTCTCTCTTAGCTCTCAAAAGCGAGCTTGGCAAGGAGTAAGGCCAGGAATAGTGGCAGCTCTCAGGACGCAGGTGCATATTTTCTGTCCTGAAATGGGCTTGAGGGAGTTTACCGCTTCCTGAAACTGCACAAGAGATTTTGTGTATGTCTGCATCTGTGCATTTCTTTGAGGCAAAGTCCTTGACTTTGATCTCCAGTGTCAGCTAGGTCTGTGAGTCCAAAAAGTTAAAGCACTGCTACGTGCGTTTTCTCAGCTCCCCCTCTATCACCATCATTTTCAGGCCAACTCAACAAAGACCAACCCTGGATATTTCTGCTATTCCTTTACAGGATGTGGATAAGTGGCAGCAGGAAGGGAAAGGGAATGGCAGTGTGGGAAGGAAAAGGGTTGCAACATGTCTGAATGAAAAAGTCCTTCTTGGGTTGGTCTGCTTTTAGAAACTTCATTTCTCAGGTTCCCTCTGTTGCTTGTTTATTTTAACACAGTGGAAAAATTAGAAGTCGTTTCCCTTATATAAAACAAACCACAGGGTTTCAGATGTTAAACTTAGGTAATTCATATTTTGTTTCACTGAAAGCTCACTGTGATGGTTATTTCAGAGACATTTATAAAGTGTCGCTTTGTTTGCAAATTCTTCCTCCTTGAGAAGTTCTTTTTCCTCAAAAAGTTCAGTTAAAGGTGTCAGATAAGTTACCCTTTAAATGTAGCATCCCAAAGTAATGAAAGCCTAGAATGACACAGAGAGCAGTGGTTGAAAACAATGACCTCCTTTCAAGATTTCAATTTCCAGTTGTTGACCAAAATTAAATGAGAAAATAAGCCAAAATGACATGGCCCCCCTCTTTTTGGTAAGTGCAAGGCCAGAGGCTGAGATTACTATAGCTCATACACGGAGCTAAGAGGTGAAGTTTCTGCATCTCCTCCTCCTCCCCCTCCTACAATGAAATTGGACAGTGGAATGTTTTCCCCCTTAGTCCATGATGTCTGTGAATTAGAAACAAACAACAACAACAAATAATAATAATAATAAAAATAGCAAATAATATGTGTCAGATACAAACGTAAGTGATGTAAATGTACTAATTTCTTTATAATTTCTTTGTCATTTCAACAATTCCTTGAGGAAAAACATTACAATTCCTTCTTTTTCTTTTTTTTTTTTTGCCATACGCGGGCCTCTCACTGTTCTGGCCTCTCCCGTTGCGGAGCACAGGCTCCGGACGCGCAGGCTCAGCGGCCATGGCTCACGGGCGCAGCCGCTCCGCGGCATGTGGGATCTTCCCAGACGGGGGCACGAACCCGTGTCCCCAGCATCGGCAGGCGGACTCTCAACCACTGTGCCACCAGGGAAGCCTATAATTCCTTTTTAATAGAGGAGGACACTGAAAAACTAGAAGTAATACTTAACCATATTATCAGATTATCTCAGCTACTCATTTCAATCACAAGTTAATATAGCTGAGCATGACTTATAAACACAAGGATATGCAAATGCCACCACTGCTAATTTTCAACTTCAGTCAAATTCTCCATTGCTTTCCCTGCAAAGCCAGAGAACATGCCAACAACAAAACCAAACCACTGAGGAAACCACTAGAATGGGAAGCAAGGGTCCAGGGTTCTATTCTTGTGCTTCAAACTAACTTGTTGCATGACTTGGTAGAAATCTACAGGAGCTTCATTTCCTTGCTATATCAATGACAGTTAGACTCAGTGGTTTCAGGGTCCCTCTCAGGTTCAAAATATTATGATCCTTGGATGTTCTCACCAACTGATGACATCAAAGATGACAAATAAAGAAAAACATAGAAAAACCTACTGACATTTTTAAAAAGGAATGCCCAGCAATTAAGGTGAAGCAAATACTAGTTGATCCCTCACTTTTAAGTAGACCCTTGAAATTTGCTGTTGCACATGAAAAAAATATTTTAACATTAGCTTGGGGTATCGGCATTACCAAATTCTGCATTTTTAACGATTTCTGATTTTAGGCAAATAAAAGCAAGATCAAGATTATCCAAAATGAATTTCCTAACCTGTGCACCTCACACCCCAAGCTTTCTGACCCCAAATTTTCTAACTACTAACACCCACCTCCTCAGCTGATCATGTTCAAATACTCAGAGCTAATTGGGACTTCTCACTGAAGTTACCCTCCATAGATACTCGGTCCTCAAATGCCATTGAGAGGTCTTAGGTGAGACCAGGACAACCTGCCACCCGAAGTTGTAAGCAGCTTTTTTCAGGAAAGAGCCCTCTGCAGGAGGTCCCTTTTGTCCTGTCACTTTAGCAAAGCTGTATTTTAACTAACCTCTGGCCCAAACCTTTCAAATCTTTTGATCACACAACACTTTGCCTAACCTGTTGGTTCTTTCCTTAGATCAAAGAAATAGAAATGAAGAATAAGTAATGAACAGATGACCAGATCTCTTCCCTAGCTTGTATTCTCATAAACAAACTGTGTGAACAAGATAAGCATCTAAAAAAAGATCACAGGGGGCCCACAGGCCTGTGCACATTGGGGGATGGCAATGACTCTGACCCCCTATTTCAGTGATTAACTGAGATTACTTCCCCTTTTTCCCTTTAAAAACTTTCAGGGCCACGCAGAACATTCAGAGACGGTTTTGGGACACAAGTCCGCCTTTCCCCCAGATAACCAGCTTTCTGGTAAAAGGAACTTTTCTGTCTCTACCAGCGCTTGTCTCTCGTATCCGAGATCTGAATTCGGTAACAAACTCACCAACCCCATAATCTTTTTTTTTTTTTTTTAATTTATTTTTATATTTGGCTGCGTTGGGTCTTTGTTGCTGCACGCGGGCTTTTCTCTAGTTGCTGCGAGCAGGGGCTACTCTTTGTTGCGGTGTGCAGGCCTCTCATGGGGTGGCTTCTCTTGTTGCAGAGCACGGGCTCTAGGCACTCAGGCTTCAGTAGTTGTGGCTCGCGGGCTCTAGAGTGCAGGCTCAGTAGCTGTGGCGCACGGGCTTAGTTGCTCTTTCACATGTGGGATCTTCCCAGACCAGGGCTAGAACCCGTGTCCCCTGCATTGGCAGGTGGATTCTTAACCACTGCGCCACCAGGGAAGCCTCCAACCCCATAATCTTGAGGGTTAAATGAATGCTTATTATTTTAAGTCACTGAACTTTAACACAGAATTATTGTGTTAATAGCTAATTGATACATACAGCAAGATGATCAATAAATGTTTAGGGACCCTAACAGAATTTTTAAAATATTTATCTGCCCCCACTCACCCTCTTCTTTATCTGTGTTTTCCTTACCCTCCAGTGCTAGACTGGGTACAAAATACGAACTCACTGCTTGGGGTTTGGACAGTGAGCTGAAGGATTCCTGGTGGATTAAATGAGAATACTATATTAGACTACCCAGCCCTTCTCAGAAACCTGATAATTTTTGCCTTAATAACAGCTCCAGTGGCAAATATCTCAGCTACAAGTTATTACTATTTAATAATACACTAATAAATTGGAACTTCCCTGGTGGTCCAGTGGGTAAGACTCCGTGCTCCCAATGCAGGGGACCCAGGGTTCAATCCCTGGTTGAAGAACTAGATCCCACATGCATGCCGCAACTGAGAGTCTGCATGCCGCAACGAAGATTCCACATGCTGCAACTAAGACCAGTCGCAGCCAAAATAAATAAATAAACAAATTTTAAAAAATCAATAT